CATTCACACCCGGGGCACCGCGCTCAGACAAGACAGAACGGCGTGACGGACGGACGGACGGCACCGCGGAGCAATGCGTAATGGCCCATTACGGCCTCCGGTGCCCCCCCCCCACCCCTGCCGGCGTTACGGTGTTAGTGGCACAGAATGTCATCACACAGCGACAGCAGCAACAAGCCCAGCCGTGGTTAGGTCTCAATGAGGTTACTGGGAATAATGATGTTACTGGGTGGCTGTGTCTGGTGTAATGGGGGCCATGATACGCACACATGGAGGTGACATGGCTTCATGCACACGGCCAGTCTGCGCCCATGGAGACCTGCGCAGAGCCCCGAGGGCCCGGAAGGCTGTGTAACCCAGACGTCCGAAAACTCGATAACCCGAGCAGATGCACGCAGTCACGCTCAGCAGCGCCCCCTGTCTGTCAGACAGAAACACCATGTTAGCGCGTGTCTGACTGGCGGGGGGGGCAGACGTTGCGGTAACAGCCCTGGGGGGGTTTCCCCTCCCCCGTCCGCCTTGGACAGCATTCTCACCTGAGTGGTGAGTCGGCCCTGTTCCCCGGGATCCCCCAGAGATCTTATTTGCCAGACTGCCAGACAGTCATGTGACCTGCGCCGGTCACGACGTGCCCCTGGCATTTCGGGCCCGCTTGCGGACGGGGGCCGCACCGGCTACCGCCCCAGGGTCGTCTTTCATCCGAGGCCACGACGGCTTCTTTCGCTTGCTATTCTCCGGAAGGTCGCTCTCTGTTTATCTACGTCTCATAACAGTCACCACAACAAACGTTTATTTTCTCTCCTGTGTTGTTTGCACAAGCCGGCAGACGTGGGAGGTGTGTTCATGCGAGCCTGGAGGCCCCCGCCCCTTACAGCAACAAAGGCATCGGGCCTCGGGTTCGACCTGATATATGCTTATTTCTGCAGCCTTCAGGTGCGGCTCCAAAGACCGCGGTTGGGTTTCGCTGTTTATGGCGAGTGAGAGATGAAGGTCATTTCCTGACAGGTCGAGAGCCCTAAATAAACACAGCGCCACAGGAGTCAGCCAGGGTCCGCAGCATAAAAAATAAATAAAAGCCCCCATTGCCCCCCCCCCCAGACCCCGCCGCCTCCCGAGGTGTTCCAGCTGTAGCTTTCCGTCGGGACGTCGCGTGGCTCATCCTGCTCCACCTCTTCAGTCAGCCTCGGGTCCAAATGTCAAAAACAAAAATATGTGGACTTCATCCTCCTCTATCGTTCCTCTTTCAGATCAAAGTCCCAGCGGGAAAAAGGCGATTTTAATCTTTAAACGGCGACGCCCAGCCATATGATGGAGCGCATTAGGAATAATAATAATTCAGGAGTGACATTTCTCATTACAGCTATCTGTGACAGGACTGGATTCCATCAGATAAACGGTATCCTCCTTACCCATAATCCCACTGTGCTAACCAACCTCGCCGAGTGTTGTGGCGCTGATCCGATGGCGCTGATCCCCTGGGTCCAGGGGATCGGTTAATAGCAGATGAGCTGCGACCAAAACGACGTCAGTCACGTAGAAGCGTGGGTTTTGGCGCATGGCCGCTTGCAGTGTGACGGTGCCTTTACAGGTGGGAAGTGGAGCGGCTCGCGTTCCCAGCGCGGTTACAGCCTGCCCTGAGCTCGCTGGGAGCCACGATACACCCCAAGATACGGTTTCAGGCGCATTTCCTGCTACATGATACTGCAGCCTTCCCCGCCTCGGCAGCCTTTGAACGCAAAATGACGGCTGGCTGTAAATTTAATGGCTGTCTTTAAGGGCAGCACTTCTGGAGCAGACACCTTGGAGAACATGGAGGTCTCAGTTCCCTGCTGAACAGGGGCCACAAAATCAACCCCCCTCCCCCACATAAAGGCGGGATGTAACCCAAACATGCGCCGTGGGTGTGCTGGAATTCCCCCCGAGTGTCACAGCTTCGTGACCTCCCCTCAAGCCCCTTCCCCTGAGACACCTCTGCAATCTGCCGACATTATAGGATCTCGGACGCCTCACACCCGGAGCCGAGCTCCGTGTGGAAACGAGAGAGACCGGGCAAGTCGACAGGGCGGCGCTCTTGAGCCTAAGGCATTTCCCCTCGTGTCTGTGGCACAGAAAGAGTGGGGTTAGTGCTGGTCATTCCCACGCTGGACACGGGGTGGGGGGGGTGAGGACACGTACGCCCAGCGGGCCGCAGTTAGAGGCGATGGCGGTGAGGCGGTTAGTGACGCCGGGCTGCTGGAGGTGAGGCTCTTACCGCGTACGTAGAGGTTGGCTGGGGCCGAGTAGCGGGTGCCGGCGCTGTTAGTCGCCACGCACTCGTACTTGCCCTGGTCGGACTCCTCGCTGTTCTCGATCTGCAGCGCTCCTGGGGGGCGGGGGGGACAGAGACAGGACACAGTGAATGTTTGCTCAGGGTGATAAAGGCAGACCACAGCTAGAGGCCAACTGGACACGCCCACAGACACCCAGATACACGCAAGTGTGATGCTAGGGGCACTGATCACTGATAATGTCACTCAGAACTTGATGGCATTCAGCCAATCAATTACAAGGCAGCGGCGGGAGGTGGCCAATCACATATCATTATCGTCGATAAAAAAGGCCCATAATAAACGACTGCTAATGCTAACAAATCGCTAAAGAGGGAAGGAGCCTCGGACGTGTTAAATGGGGACTTACCAGAGCACATCACACATCTGCACCGTTTTAATTCTTAGCCCTTTTATTAGGGTCTCAGAGCACATGGGGGTGGGGCCCTCACAGGACCCGCCTTAAAGAGCGCAGGCGGGGGATGGGGGCTGGTCACCATGGTATCCCCGCGTCGGCGCGCAGTCGTGAGATTTACACACACCAGACACCATGCAGCTAGCAGGTGAAGCACATTTAGAGAGAATAAAGGGCGTAACCAGTGATGCATCATGGGATGGATGGCTCTGCTGTTAAGTGCTGACACAGGTAACAGAAATAAACAGAGCGATAAACAGCGTGAGATGACATCCAGAATCGTGTCTGCTACCAGGTGGCTCTGACCCGGGACTGAGAGGAATTCATGTGGATCATTCCGGAAAAACATTGAAATACTGCAACTAATAATAATCCATTTTCCCGGTCAGGGTCATGGCAATGGCTAATAATAATAATAATAATAATAAAAATAATAATAATAATAATATCAAGCAAAGATTCCGGCTAGTCAGGCTGCAGCTGGTGTCCATAAGCCTCCAGGGGAATCTTCTGCAATCCTGAGACCAGCATTGCCCGGATGGCTTCCGTTAACTTGGGGGAGGGGGCGCTGTGTATGTGGGGGGGTGGATTGCTTCTGTGTCCCTCTACTAAACCCCTGTGAGACCCGTCCACCATGACGTCTTAACGATTATTATGGGCTGTTTTTGCAGAATACACATACATAACAGCGACGATGCCAACAATGTGCTGGACAGAGGGGGTGTCGTGAGGTGAGAGGAAGAGGGGGTGGTGACAGTGGGGGGGAGTGATGGAGTGAGCTGACATTTCAAGGGACTTCCCAGCATTCTTACCTCTGATTGGTGTACCACCTGGTGAGGTAATTTGAATGCAAATAAGATTAGAGAGAAGAGTTAGTGCAAGAAGAAAGAGAGAGAGAGAGAGAGAGAGAAAAGACAGAGGAAAACATCTGAGTGAAAAGGAAATAAGAGAGCAAATCAGAGCTTAGTCACCGTCACTCTGGGTGGAGAGTGGAAGGGCTGGACAGGAGGCGGGGGGGGGGGGGCGGAAGCTGGATAAGTTAGCAGAGCACCGGGGCCTGATCAGGAGCTGCTGACTGGCGGGCAGCCTGCTTAACCCACACCAGACTCAGCCAGACCGGCCGGGATGGCTCCAGGCCTTTGTGACTTACACGGTCTGTCCCACATTAATCTGTAAGAATTGTACAAAAAACATGTACTTTTTGGAGTGGGTGTGGCCTTCGGCGGACTAGACCACACGGTATGGGTCAAGGTGGTCACTAGCGTACCAGACTGCATGGTATAGGTCACGGTGGTCTCTGGCAGACCAGACCGTAGGGTATGGATCACGGTGGTCTCTGGCAGACAAGACCGTAGGGTATGGATCACGGTGGTCTCTGGCAGACCAGACCGTAGGGTATGGATCACGGTGGTCTCTGGCAGACCAGACTGTAGGGTATGGATCACGGTGGTCTCTGGCAGACCAGACTGTAGGGTATGGATCACGGTGGTCTCTGGCAGACCAGACTGTAGGGCATG